CAACCAACCGCTGTCTCTTGGTGCCACCCAAGCAAGCAACCAACCAACAAGCCGAACCAAGCAAGCAGTCAACCCAACTACCACAGCTGCCATTATTGTTTCGCTGTGTATACTGGGTTTGCATTGCGGGGGAGGCGCTGCGCCTCCCCGCACCCCTGCCGCTTTTTAAACCACAGTGCCCACCCAGGCGATCAACCAACCAACAAGCCGAACCAAGCAACCAGTCAACCCAACTACTACTGCTACTGCTGCTGCTACAATATGTTTCGCTGTCTATACTTGGTTTGCATTGCGGGGGAGGCGCTGCCCAAGTGAGCAACCAACCAACAAGCTACTTGGTTTGCATTGCGGAGGAGGCGCTGCCCAAGTGAGCAACCAACCAACAAGCCGAACCCACCCAAAAGCAACACCCACACTGCCAGCCGCCACCAACCAATGCGGGGAACAAAAAACACCGTCATGGGATTACTGGGAAAAAAACACCCGCCGTAACAGAAAACACCCTAGGCGGTAACAGAAAACACCCTAGGGAACCTCCCGGGAACGGAAAACACGGGAGAGGGAAACACCACGGGAACAAACAGCACCAAAACAGGAACAATACACTAGACCCGTGTCCTCGCCACACTGTTCTGCCAACTTCATGGCTGATAGAGTGTGTCCACAGGTGCTCTATACAAAAAAGATAGCAAGTTTTGACAAAGCCTTCGGCCTTCGAGCTCTTTCCACGTGTTGGCTACATCTCGCAGCTTTCCCGGCAGGGCGGGGACACACAAGGCTTCCGCGCATGGTCTTCCAGCCTCGGAGCCCACACGCAGTGCCGCAATGAAGCCATGAAGTGCTCCATGGCCGTTCTGGCAGAGAGCAGAAGCTTGCTGAGCCCGGGAGTGATCAGCCTCGTCGTTCATCTCCACCTTCCCTGCCTGATACCCGTTCGAAGGTACGCTAAAGGTTTGACGCAGGATTTTATTTTATAAAATCCTTTCGGGCTGAGGTCATTCCTTTATTTTTTTGTGTGCCAAGGTTGGCAGCCAAAAAAAACTTGAGGGTTTTGAGCATTTATGGAATCCTGCGTCAACCTGTTTTATGGAATCCTAGTACAGAGGTTGAAGAAGCTCATGTGTAACAAACATCCTGGCATATTAAAGTCCTGGTTCAGGGGTGTCCTTTGTGTTATTTTTCAAAAGAACGCTTCTAGGTGGAGGCCATCGCTAGTAGGTTGGAGGCCCTAAATCCACTCCCATTCTTTAACCTTCTCCGGGCACAGGTCAAGGCTTCAACCGGCTCAAGCGCCGAGGCCTGCTTCTTTAGACGTCTCTTTCGGGAGGGTTGATCCAGGAAAAAAGTAGAAAATACCTGCCTGGTATCACACTATGTTCTTGGATGTTTCTCCGGCACAGGTTGACCGCAGGATTCCATAAACATCCACAATCTCAGTAGGTTGCCAGCCCCACCTGGAGCACCCACGGGCATACAGGAGATCAGGAGTCAAAGACTTTTTTCTCGAACGTGGTTCCTGAAGATCTGCGATTCTGTTTTGGGACGCTGGTCATTGTATTTCTTTCCATATCCTCAGGCGAAGATGGAGCCATCGACCGGTGTTTCGCAGGTGGGAGAAGTTCTGTCCTTGTATATTTGTCCTTCACGAGTTTGGCTACGATGAGGGAAGTTTACTTGGTTGAGGAAGATTCAACTATATAGAGTTTTGGTCCTTCATGGAAAGAACTCAATATAGGTCATTCTGGTGCTTTGGGACGTTAGAAGTCTCGGGTTGGTTTGGAAATAGAAGTCAAGGATCTATTTTTTACACCTGGCGTAGGATGCGAAGTTGGAAGAGAAGACAGAGCTGCAAGCTGCGGTTGGGCAGGACCCTCTTTCCGTCGCCTGCGTGTTCTAACCTCCTAATTTTTTAGTTCCAGCATTTTCCAAAACAAGCGCCGTCATTTATGGAATTCTGGCTGCAGCCTGTAAAAGATTCGGTATGAACAGAGGCCCCCATCTTCTCCACCATTGTCTTGCAATCTTGCGGGACCTGAGGAAGGACAAGGATTGGCGCTAGGTTGGCGCTAGGTTTCATAACAGGATAGCAAGCAGGAAAAAGAAGAAACACGCAGAGAGCAGGAAACAGAAGAAGCAAGACAAGAAAAAAGAAAAGCCAAGAAGAAGAATAATGCACAACAAGAAGAATACAAGCAAGCAGGAAAAATAAGAATCTGACAGGATAAAGAAATTGACGGAGATTTTTGCGCTAGGCTGGCGCTAGATCCGCGCTAGCGCCGAGGACTGGCAGAGTCTACTGTTGGAATCGGTCCATGATCTCTCTGAGTGTGTGCTTTTAGAAATCTTGTGCAAACAACCATGTTGATCGGTTGATCGACTTCGGAGGTTCGCCTTGCGTCGGCACAGGATTCCAAAAAAAGCATCCTTGCTAGACTCTAGACCAACCAACATATTAAATTCCTGGGTCAGACCTTACTCTATTGTTACAGGAGAGGCAATGAAACTGTTATGAAATCCTGTGCTGAACCATTCCATCCTTCTAGGAATTCGCAATGATTTGTTTTTTCAATATCTCTTATCTTTTTCCTGCGTCAACATTGGAATTGCATGTCCTATAATTTTTTGGTGTTTTTTTGGAATCCTGTGACTGAGGTTCGGTGCGAGAAAAAATCATAATAATAAAATGTCCCTGACGTCTGGGAAAAAAGTATGGACTTCCAGACGGGTATTGCCTGCGCAAGTCAAGGTTCTCAGCCATCCACGCCTCCAACAGGGCGGTAAGCGCCCGTCCCTACACATGTCGGTATGAGTGGTATTTACGGCATATAATATGAAGTCCTGCTGCAACAAAGAGAGCAAGATTGCCATTTGTTTCCCCTGACATGGCTCACTCGTCCAGGGCTGGCAAGTGGATTGACAAGCTTGGGTCACCATTACAGATGTGTCCACCAGAGGTGGCTTTATTCTAGAAATCATCAAACTTGAAAAACAAGCAAAAACATGCAAGCCAAAAAAGCACAAGCAAAACAAAGAGCAACCAAGAAAGCAAACACAAGCAAAGAAATGCAACCAAAAAAACACAAGCAAAACAAAGAGGGTAGTTTGGGGGGCGGGTCAAGTGTCGCACTTTTGGTCGCTTTTTTCTGGCGCCGGGTCAAATGTCGCACTTTTGGTCGTTTTTTGGGCGCCGGGTCAGAAGTCGCACTTTTCGTCGGCGCAAAAAAAGCGACCAACAGTGTGACTTTTTAGCCGGCGCCGAAGAAAGGAGAAAAACAAGCGACCAAAAGTGCACCAGAAAGTGGACCCTTCCCCAAAAGTGCACCAGAAAGTGGACCCTCGCCCAAAAGCGCGCCAGAAAGTTGACCCCTTTAACAAGTGCGCCAGAAAGCCCGGCTGAGTTGTTCCATTTTTGCTTGCTATTTTGTTTGCTTTGTTGTTGCTTTTATGATTGCTTGTGTTTTTCTGGCTGCCCTTTGCGATTGCTTTTTTTCTTTGCTCCTTTTTTGCTTTTGTGATTGCTTTTGTATTTCTGGTTGCATTTTGTGATTGCTTTTTCTTTTCAAGATAATAAACCTCTAGAATGAAGGGGTCTGGCAGACACAACATTACAGATGTCCTTGATTTGAGCTTGCTGTATTCGTGACAAAATGATCGCCCCGGCCACCGGCCGTGCCGGCCGCGCTGATAAATCGACTATCCCCACTGCTTGGGAACGAATCACAAAAACACTTGTCTGAGAAGGCTACCAGCAGAATGATTGTTAATCTAAAACATCTAATTAAACATCTAATTGAAGGGCCTGACAAATTACAACAACTCTTCGCACCGGTAGTTCTCTGCCAAGCATCTCAACGAAATGATCTCGGATCCGTGGCTTGACTTCCTGCAAACAGTATGGATGTATGCCATAACGATCAAAAGCTTGAACATCACCGTTGTTTTTGCATTGAGGATCTCCACTCTTTGGGAAGTGCCAACTCAGACTAAAGTAAGCTTGATGGTGTTTCTGCTGTTTGCCTTCCACTGGCCTTTGCAAGCCATTCTTTAATGGAAACAAGCAAACTCCTCAGATGTTCATACCCCCAAGACAATATTTGCAGGTCAGTGGGGCAAAATCTGAAGTCTTCCAAAAACCTGCCCCACCAGCCAAGGGCCAAGCCAGCTGAAGCACTTGGATTTCCTTGTGCTCTTCCTCCCTTAGTTGTCCAGGAAACTTGCTGCCAAAGAGAACGTAGTCTACACACAGCTACCCAAGACTTTTGGTCATACAATGGCCGAACACAATTTGTCTTGGTACCTGCAATTCAGGCGCAAACTGGGCATTGTCCAGCACTCGGACACAGGTTGTGTTTACAGCATTGCTCATCATAATGACACTATGCTGGCAAATGTGGTCTTTGCAACAGTTCTCACTAGTAGCTTAGAATTCTTTCCAATAACAACATAAAACGTTGCAATACATATATCATATATAGAATACGAAGGGTCAACAAAGTTGATGCAGTAAAGATGGGCCCTCGAACACCCCAAGATCAGAATAGGATGGCTATAGAGGACATGTCCTTCACAAGCCTCAGGCCAAAAAAGGTATGTCGTATGAAAACAAAAGCATTGCTCTAAAAACTACATCTTCCTTAAATGACCACAATAGAGTGTTTATGACTGCACACTGTACATACCCATTATAGAAGAGCAGCTCTATTGTCATATGCTTTGCAACACAGAAATCTTTTCATGTATGACACTCATTTGTTGAATGTGAGTTGTTGCTCGTAAAGGGCATTTGGTGTTGTGCTTGTTGTCTTCAAAGACCATCAACTGTTGTCCAACGGAATCTTCTGAACTCATACAATGCTGGCTAAGTAGGTGAGGCGCAGGAACAACAGTTTGCTAGTTAAGTTGTGTCATGATGGGTTAACTATACATCAAACCAATGAACATCAAACTAAAGACTTTACATTTTATTTGACAGGCAGTTGCTTACAAGCAGTATCTCCAGAGCCTTTGACAACCCCATGAAACCAACCCAATCAACCAGAGCACCCAAAAACCTCGAAAAGGTATCAAAAAACAGATCCAAATCAGCTGAATGGAGCCTGGCAAAAATGATGAAATAACAACATACCAACGTGTTCAAGCCAATCTCTGGATCAAACCACTGTAATCCAAACAATCAAAACCTTGAAAGGTAGCAAAAGCAATTCAAACCAATGAGGTCTTGAAGAAAGAGTTCAAAAACATTGGTATGTTGGTATTCTGCTGAGGTTTTTGCGAGCCCTCATTAGATTGGACTTGGATGCTTTGGTCCCGAGCTTTACCTGAAAACATTGATTATTGATTGGTATTGGTATTTGTCTTAGACTGGTGACTGGTGGTCCAAAGATGGACCTGAAAACGTTGCTATTTTGATATTTAAATCCCTTCATTCTTCGACAGGAATGGGACTTGTGAGTATATGGTATGAACTTTTGCTTGCATCCACAGTGCAAACTGGCTTGCATTTGCTGGTTTGAGGAAAGGAAACTGATGGCAATGGCATTGGTCGGTTGCCATTATGAATTTTCAGCCGGAAATACAGCCTTGGCCTGATCACATTCATTCTACGAGAGGCCAAGTGGATAGTCTTTGATCCATTGCGCCCATTCTCTAACCAAAGTGCAAGAAGACCAATTGGATAAGCGTGATCCAAATAAAGTTCAATGCCACCTTCATTGCGAAATGGTCCTTATAGGCCCTATATGGGCTAGACAAGTGTCGGTCTTCAGAATTTCGGTGACCTAGACTCCCAATCTGTGCCCACCGCCTTCAATCTTAGTTGAGTGCGCTCAGCTGCGCCAAATCAGTTCTGACTGATGTCACTCCTCGTTTGTTTAGCATAGTCATAGTCACAAACTAAGCACATGCTGGCGGTGCTCTCCGTCGTGAAGTCTGTTGAAACGTTTTCCATTATATATTTGTCGAGAATTGAATGTGCGCCATACACTGGTCTTAGTTCTGTCATACTTTTGGGATCTTTTGGGGTTCCACTTGGTGTCCATTTCATTTGTACTGGCTTCGGGCTGCTTATGAGCGGGTGGGCGTGTTTGTTGGTATTTTGTGGCAGAAGGCAGAAAGTAGTCTGGCGTGTCCACTAAATCTTTAATGTTTGTTAGTTAGAAACATGTTCTACACTAAAAAGGCATGGTCCGAGCATTGCTGGTCTAATCTTGAACACGTTTTGTGATGCGCATAAATGTGTTATACCTTCTCCCCTGAGAGAGTTGCGCAAAGTATTTCAAACTCCAAAATGTACTCGGGGTGGGTCAGGGAATCCAGCAGACAGGGTATGTAGCCCCAACCGGCTTCGCCAGGTCCCAACTAGTTCTCAGGAGGTAGCTCCCAGGGATAGTTCCTAGGGTAAGTGTGGGGAAATGGCTATTCACAAGCTAATTCTGGGGTGTGACCCTGTTCCTCTAAACTTTTAGAGTGCCACTCTAAAAATTTAGAGTGGACTCTCAAACATAAGAAAACACTCGAGTGAGGACTATTGTAGAGGACCTGCTCTAAAAGTCTAGAGTTATCTAGAGTGCGTTTTCGAGTGATTTTAGTGAAGAATATGTGTTCGGAGAAGATTAGAGTGATTTAGATAAGTTTAGAATGAATTTAGAGTGCTTTAGAGTTGTTTAGATGAGTTTAGAGTCGTTTTAGATAGGTTTACAATTGTTTTAGATAATTTTAGAATACATTACATAGTGCTACATACTGTTTCCCAAAAACTAAGATGAACAGGGTCTGTGGCAACAGGGTCTCAGCAGACCTTCCTGAGTGGGGTTGGGTGGGGCGCCACATATGTACATACTATATAAACAACTATGTATATAATTTAAATATATATGTATACACTGGCCAGAAGAAAGTTGCGCTTCTTGATGTTGAAATTCATGACAACCCTATCCCCCTAGAATCCTACACCATGAGACAAGGGAAGGTGTGGG